CTCCCCCGCGCGTGCTGTGGCGCTCCCCCCCTGCCATTGCTAAGCTGTGGCTCGTGGTGCTCCTTGCTTTCCCACCAAGCCCACAGCTAAGGAGAGGGCAAACTTCTGACCCAACATCATCCTTGTGGTGGGCAGTCGGGGGTCTCGCATTCAAGGTAGTGGGCGATGCCGTGGGCAACCAGCTTCCACCTACAGTCCTACAGCAGCTTCCCAATGTCTTCCTTGTGCTCTGAGACTCTCCACTGGGCACATGGGACATCCGGGCTGCTCCGTTCTACCAAGCCTCTGAGCAGGAGACTCCTGTAGGAGCAGTGGGCTGAGGCCTGGGGGTGGTCTGAGCCCCCAGGATCTGGCTGGCTGATGGCTGCAGGCAATGGATCCTAAGACTGAGGCAGCTTGTCCTGTGAATGCTGTGCCCTACTGGGCACCAAGCCTATGCCCACAGCGCAGAGCCGGGCTGTAATTCCCACCCCTTCTCCAGGACCACGAGCTGAGCAGTGCTGCGCACTCTGCAGACTAAAGAACTTGACCTCTTGCCTAGAACAGACTCCAGGCGTCTTGATTCCCAGCCCTTTGCCTGCAGCCAAGAGGCCATCCTTCCCCCCTCATTACCTGCAGTTGCTGCCACATGCTCTAGGGAAGCACTAGCTGCACAAGGATATTGTTGCTGGAGGTTGGCCCTGTCCCCTAGTCCAGCTAGTGGTGCTGGCTGGGCTGCATTTGCCCTCTAAGCTCATGGGAGCAGGACCTGGCTGGATCAGCTCTGTCCTACAGTGTCCCCGTGGCCTAGAGGGGTGGGCAGGAGGGGAGTCCTACTGCACTTGAGCTGTGTGTCCAGTGAGGCTCACAAGCCCTGCTCCATTCCCATGCAGCCTGTCTCACTGCCCCTCCCGCCCTGCCAGGTGGAGTTTGCAGACCGCCAGCTCCGGGAGCTGGGCAAGTCCCAAGTGGCTGCTGACCCCCTGAAGAGCCGAGACCCCTTCAGTCATCACCCCGGCGACATCAGCACCGACAGTCTGGACCTGAGCAGTGACGAGTTGCAGCCGCTCAACTCCACCAGGTACTTGGGGAGCAGGGGTCCCAGGGGCCTCTGACTGGGGAGGGCATTGGCTGTGCTTATCTCTCATGGGGTCCCCTGCCTCCCACAAGCCATGCCAGTGATTCTCTGCTCCCCACTAAATCCGGGTTGGGTGCCCCTGCCCGGCCTGGGGGCTGCCACATCATGCTGCGTCCCCTCCCCGTAGGAAACCGGGCCGTTCCAAGTCGGAGACCTCCGCTGTGCCCGACAGTGCCGAATCGATTGCGTCCCAGCGCCTGCCGCGGAAGGTGGAGTCCCTGGAGAGCCTCTACTTTACACCCATCCCCAGCCGCACCCAGTCCAAGCTGGAGAGCAGCCTGGGCTCCCTGGGCGACCTGTCACTCGACTCCGGCTGCAAGACCCGCTCGGCGCGCCGGCGCACCACGCAGGTCATCAACATCACCATGACGAAGGTAACATGGGGCGGAGGCCCCCTGGTTCACACCCCTGGCAGCACTAGGAAGGATTTCTTCGGTGTTTCCTGACCTTGCTTCAGAGGCTGGCTCGGGACCCGGCACCATGGGCCCCCTCCAGGATGCTGAGCCCTCCCTGCAGGCAGTCCCATGCCAAAGAACCCCTGGGACGTCTGGCACATGGGAGGGCAGCAGAGGAGCAGGCCGCACTGGTTGCACAGGGCGTCCGCCCCACACTGACCACCCTGGGGGACGGTGGTTTCTGCTCCCTTCCTGTCGCCCAACTCCCATGCACCGAGGCATCCACTGTCCCAGCCCGCAGTGAGCTGGAGAAGCAGCTGAGTCGGCCAAGATTTGGCTGCCTACCTGAGGTTAAGTGGGTCTGCCCTTCGGCAGGGGTCACTGTCTGGCCGGCCTCCTGTTCTAACCCCTGGCTTCCCCCTGCAGAAGGAACCCGACACCGCCGCCGACACGTCTTTCTACAGCCTCCGGTCAGAGCCGTCCCAGAAGAGCCCCCTGGCCAAGGGCAGGCTGCGCTCGGGGGTCTCCACCCGCTCGCTCACCAGCTGCCCCTCTCGGGAATCCCTCGCCAAGCCAGAAGCCACCTCGCCCGAAGAGACCCCGGGCAACTCTGCGCTGCTCAGCCTGCCTGGCTACCGGCCTGCCACCCGCAGCTCCCTGCGCCGCTCTCAGGCAGGCAGCAGCACCAGCCTCGGTAAGCTTGGGCTCCATGGGGGGTTGAAATGCTTGGCTAGTGGCCTGTGAATGTGGCACTGAGGTGGCGGCTCAGCCCAGGCCGTGGCGTAGGTCTGTCTGAGGGGCAGGTTGGAGGTGGCTGCAGGGGGCCAGGGTTCCCTGGCAGAGCCGTGTGGAGAGGATTCTCCTCGTAGCGTGTGGGTGGTGGCATAGTGGCCTCTGGGAGCCGGCGAGGGCCCGGGGCGGAAGTCCCACCTCTGTGCCGGGGCCTCGGGTGTGCTGATGCTTCCTGCTCTGGTTCTCAGGCCGGAGCAGCCTCTACCTGGGCACGTGCCAAGACGAACCAGAGCAGCTGGACGACTGGAACCGCATCGCTGAGCTGCAGCAGCGCAACAGGGTGTGTCCTCCCCACCTGAAGACCTGCTACCCCTTGGAGACGAGGGTAAGAGCGGGGGAGACCTGGGGAAGCACAAGCTGCTTACTTGCCTGACCTGATCGCCCTCTGCTCTAGGGCCAGGCGAGGCCACCCGGCTCCTGGCAGTTTCCCTGCAGCTCCCGGGTTTGAGGACTTCCATGCAGTGGTCTGGTAACGGGCTGAAGCCACAAGGAGCTGCCCATCCTGTATCTAGTGAGGGTTCCCTGAAGTTGCTTGTGGCTTTCAACTTTGTTCTTCCAGGCCATGTCTACTTCAGTGTCTGCTTCTCCAGCTGGATCCCTTCCCTCTGCGGGACAGGGAAGCCATGGGCTGCTTTAGGAACAGTGTCCAGCCCCCCCAGGGAGTGGGACAGTAGTGAGGATAGCTCCTTTGATGCCCAACGTGTGCAGATGCTGCAGTGACCGGCCTGTGCACCCTCAGGCTGCCCCTCGCTTATCTCCACGCCTGTGCATTTTTGCAGCCCTCCAGCTCCTTGACGGCCATCACGGACGAGGACGTGAAAACAGGCGACCCGCAGGAGACGCTGCGCCGGGCCAGCATGCAGCCCTCGCAGATCGCTGAGGCCATGGGCCCCCGCCACAGCACGCTCGGCGCCAGCTGGCGGGGAGGCATCACCACCCGGCAGCAGAGAAAGCGGCTCTCGGGCGAATCTCACCAGGGCCCAGACACCCCTGAGGTGAGACCGGTGGAGCCTGGGGCACGGAGCTGCGAGTGCTACGTGCAGCCTTCGCTCCTGCAGCTCTGCTGGATCTTGCCAGCCCCCTCCATCGCCTCCGCTGCTGTCTGCCCCACGTGCGCATGCCCCCAGCGGATATGTGTGGGCACTGACTCGCTAGGTGGGTGGGCAGGGAGAGGGGACTTACCTCCCCGGTCTTCAATCCCCCCCTCTCTCCATAGTCCAAGAAGTCAACCAGCTGCTTCCCGCGTCCCCAGACCCCCAAGGACCGCAACGAGGAGCGCAAGCGCAGCGCCCAGGGCAGCAAAAAGGGCGAGTTGCAGGGAGCCAGCAAGCAGGTGAGTGCCTCGTCTGCCAGGTGCCGTGCTGGCTTGCCTGGCCGAGATGTAGCTGAGTGGTCAGGATCGGGGCTGGGTGCACTGCTTCAGCTCCCACCCCTCCTCTCTCCTGCTGGGGAGCGAGGAGGCTTTGCGGGCACTAGGAAGCGGGGCCTGCAGTGCCGTGCTGAGCATGGAGGCCCCCTCTCTGCCCCCGCAGTCAGAGAGGCGCCAGTCCATGGCGTTCAGCATCTTGAACACACCCAAGAAGCTGGGGAGCAGCTTGCTGCGCCGTGGCGCCAACCGGAAAACCACTCCCAAGAACTCCCCGCGCGGCAGCACCCGGCGCTCCCCCCGCATCGCCACGGCCAAGTCGCCCAAGGGCAAGGTACGGGGACCCCAGGGCTGGGCAGGGTGGGGCCGGGCGGCCTGTGTCAGCACCACCGTTGGGCGCCTGTTCCCCTGGGCTGCCCCCAGTTAGGGACTATTCAGTCGCCAGCCTGAGCTCCTGTGCTCCCCAAGCCCGAGGGGGGCTGCCACGAGCCCAGTTCCAGGTCACGTCTGCATGCAGCATTGCTGTGCTCCTCTTTGAGGGGAAGAAGAGGCTTGTCTTAACCGGAGGGATACGGTAATGTGGGGGCTTCAGGCATTCCCTGGGGGTCCCCGGCTTGAGGCAGCATGCAGTCAGCCTGTGCCCAGCTCATGCAGCGGCATCCCTGGGGCCCCTACTACCATGTCCCGCTTCCCAGCTCTTGGGCCCGCCCTGGGGGAGCTGAGGAGTGGCAGCAAGGCCCTGCGGCGGGGCCTGGCTCGGAGACGTGAAGCTGGTCCCTGCACGCTGCACCTCTGCCGGGTGCGGAGGCCTTCAGAGGCGCCCGGAGGGGCTGAGGTGGGCCAGGTCTGGCTGCACGCGCTGTGGGACACACGAGCTCCCCTCACTTCAGCCACCTCCTGGCCCGCCGGGCCTGCAGTGACTCCCACGCTCGCCAGCACCCGTGGGTCTAAGCAGCCCCTCTCTCCCTCAGGCCAACCACAAGTCGCTCAAGGACATGAAATTCTAAGCGCGCTCCTGGCCGCGCTGCCTGCCTGGGCAGAGGCCGTCCTGGGCGCTTTCACCTCCAGCCTGTCGCCAGCCGCCTTCCATCTCGCCACCGCTGCCCTCACTCCCTCCCTACTCGAAAGCCACCAGCAAGGCTGCCCCTGACGGACGCTGCGCTGCCGGAGGAGAGGAGAGGGATGGAGGGGCCTGGATTCCAGCCGTGACGAGTTCCCAGACATCACCCCTGCACTGAAGTCGCGCCGGGCAGGTACCGTTCCATGCGCCTGAGCGGAGTCTGCAGGGAGTGCCCCAGCTCCCTGCGAGGCGGAGGGGGCTGTGGAGGCGTTGGCACCTCAACCCCCTTCTCCGGCCGTCAGAGGATGCAATGTGCCTGGTGTGCAGAGCAGAGGCCGGCAGTGGGCACTGCTCCCCTGCATGGCCCGGTTCTCCCAGCTCCTCCCCCCGCCCGAGCCCAGCGTGCCTGCCACAGGATGTGGCTTTCCTGGCAGGGCCACCTTGTAACGTCCTCCATCCCCCACGGCCCTGCTTGCGGTGCTGGGGGCAGCGCTTGTACAGAGCCCGGGAGCCAGCAGGCCGCTACGCGCCGGCCCTGGCGCTAGTATCATGTACGTACTAATTCCTTATCATGAGCATATCTCCAGTTTGTGCTTGGGCCTTGCTTGCCTGGCAGCTTCTCGCAGGACCTGTAATGGGGGCTCCCTGCTCCGTAGCAGCTCCTCGCTCAGCCTCTCCCGCTCCCCTGCCCAGACCCATCTCCTCATGTGCTGGAGGGAGCTGGGTCTTCCCTGCGTGGGCATTAAGCGCACGGGGCTGACCGGAGCCACGTCTCCAGGGCAGGCCACTGCCATGCGGGCTGCAGCCATGGGGCATCTCCCTCCACAACGACTTCTTGTGGCCTGGCAGCCCCGGAAGTGCCTGCAGCGGATCCAGAGGGGCAGCCCTGCTGCCAGGGCCGCTGGCCGCGTGCAACTTGCTCGGCCCTAGGGGCACCGGGATCGTGGCCTTAATGGGACAGGGGAGAGCGGGAGCAGTACAGCCCTGGCATCCCTGCAGGGACCCTCGCATGTCTGTGTCGGTAGGGTTCGGTGGCTATGCCTTGGCTCCCTGCCCCGCCTGCGGGTACTAGCCATGGCAGCCATGCCAGGAAGGTGCCCCTTGTTTCCTTGACCCAAAGCTCCAGTGTCCCCCATCCTCCTCATGTCCCTCGCAAGCAGCGGCTTCTCCAGCCCCCGGCAGGGGTGTGGCAAGGGCAGGGAGAGCCGCCTGCAGAGGGGACCCCTCTGGGCAGCCCCCCAGCCCTTGCCCCCTGCCCCCTTGGCCCAGTTGGCAACAAAACGTTGTTTTTAAATGTTTCTACTCTGTAAATAAACTGTATTTTTCTCCTGAGGCCTCATCTCTCCACTGCTTTGCAGCCAGCTCCACCTTCTTCCCCAGGGCCCGTGCTCCTGCAGCCTTGCCGTGACCCCCGTGCTCCCTGGTGCCCCCTGCTCAGGGCGTTGGCACAGCGGAGCGCTGGCCCCAGGCTTCAGGGCTTAGGGCAGCCCGAGGAGCCGGCACACGTTTGAACGGGAGAGCCCCGGGGAGCTTGTCCAGCTGCAGCATGTGCCAGTTGTGTCCCCACCCTCCTGGAGGGGCCAGCTGCATTCACCCACCCCCTTGCCCTGGGGCAGAGGACGGTGCAGCACTGGGGCAGCTGCAGTGGTGGGGGGTGGAGGTTTGAATCACTGCTTTGTGCCTATAACCCTGTCTCACCTCTCTTCCCCTCCTGCAGCACCACCTGTGCACACCGTCATCCTGCCCTGGGGCACATCACCAACTGAACATGCTGGGACCCAGGCTGGGTTTGTCTGGTCCCAGCAGGGCCTGGACCTCCCGGCTGCTTTCCAAGCTCCTCACTGGGTCTGCGCCCCTGGAGCAGCCCTGGCTTGGCGTTGCCACCAGCGTGACCCCAGCAGAGGAGCATGGCTGGGGCTGAGACCTGTGTGGCAGGGAGGTCCTAGGCTCTTTCTGCCGGGAGATACTTGGTAGGAGGCAGGAGGGAATTCGCCACGAAAAGGGTCTTTATTGAACTGTCCCCGACGGGGAAAGAGGTGGTGCCTGCCTCTGGCTTCAGCCCCTTCTAATTGCACGGCCTGTCACCCAGCTGCTGCTGCCTGGGGACGAGGGGACCTGGCGGAGTCTGAAGCACAGGTGCTCCCGGCAGCCCAGCATGCAAGGCTTTCCAGCCGCCCCCATCCACCTGCCAGCTGGGCTGGTCCGGGACTCTGGGGGCCCTGGAGTGGAGCCTGGAGCCACCAGGCCCAGGGGCACTGGGGACATGAGGAGCCGTGTCTGGCTGCTGCGTGAAGGGGCATGGTGGTGGCAGCGGCACAGGACCTGGGCTCTACCCAGTCCTGCACGGCGCCATTGGGCTGCAGTTTCTTGACCAGCCAGTACATGAGCGTCCTGTCCGGGAAGGTGCTCTTCACCTTGCACGACACGGAGAAGTTTGCCCCTGCGGGAGCAGGCATGGCGCTCTCTCCTGGGGGTCTTGGGCTCCCTGCCCCGCACAGCGCTGGAGCAGATGGGTGTAAGCGAGGTGGGGTGGGTGCACTTACCCAGGGCAGGTCTCGGGAGTGGTTTGAGGAGGTAGATGATCTCTGGGAGCAGCTTGGGGCTCGCGTCTCAGGGCAGAGAGTGGCTGGTGAAGCCGGGAAGGGGGTCTGGGAGCGGGGGCACTGCCCTGCCTGGCTCCTGGGGGTAGGGCACTGGCTGTACAGGCAGGGAAACTGAGGCATGGCACGGTCAGGGGCCAGGCTCAGCCCAGGTGCTCCACCAGGAATCCCCACCCCTGCCTGGGCAGGCTCTGGCCACAGCCTCGCCCCAACCTGCCCGCACCTTACCTGTGCGGTGGAGCTGGACACAGCCGCAGAGCAGGACAAGGGGGAGCCACGTGCCCGCGCTCCTGGGACCTGCAACCAGAAGAGGAGGCAACGCTGAGCCTGGTAGGGGTCGAGGGGAGAGGGAGCTGGGTGGGGGGCAGTGATCCTGGAGCCCTGCTCCTAGCTGGGGTAAGCTGTCCCTTCACCGTGCCTCAGTTTTCCCACCTGTGCAATGGGCAGAGGGGCCTTCCCTGTGCCTGCAAAGCCCTCTAGCTGCTCCCCAATCCCACCACATCCCCCACAGCTGCCCATCCTTCCTCTCCCCCAGGCCTCCTGCATCTGGAAGGGGGCTTGGACCCCCTCCCACGCCAGCAGCAACCCTAGCGCAGCAGGGCAGGGCCGTGGGCAGCCCCTGCCTACAGGGGCCCTACCTGCTGCCAGGCCTGGGCTGCACATCCTGCCAGCTGGCTGTGGGCTTCAGAGGCGGCATCTTATAGAGCTGAGCCTAGCCAGAGCTGACTCGCAGACACCGGGCCAAGGGGAACCCCTGCTCCCCTCCACACCACGCCGGCAGCACGGGGGCCGTGGGGGATGGGATGGGGGGGACATGGCAGGTTGCCTTCACAGCTCCAAAAGTTGGAAAATGCAGGAGTGCTGGCACCTGCTGAGCCAGGCAGGGCGAGGACGGAGTGGGGGGCTCCTGGCCAGGGCTGAGGGCACAAGTGAGAGAAGAGTCAGACACGGGGTCATTATTTTTATTTTTATTTTTTTAGTAACTATATATCTGTATCTCTCTAGAGAGAGAGAGATAATGGTCACGTATAGATACACACGCCTAGTCACTGCTCATTGCATTTGTACCCCACCATGGGAACCCGCGCACCCGTTACACCCCTCACCCTCGCAGAACAGTGCTCCCACGCACCCATCCGCAAGGCATTATCTCCCTTAAAAACCCTTGTCTCTCACTCCTGTCCCCAGATCCAGGGTTTCAAACTCAGTTTGTTCGCTGTTGCTTTTGCTGGAGGACCCGCTGCTGCTGTCGCCCTCCTCCCCC